TTTGGTACCAAGATTCTTGATTCACAGAATGAGTCAGTGTCGGAGGTCTACTGGATCTGAACATGGCAGGTCTCAGACAAATGTTCAAACCTCGTGCTGTTGCCAAGATATCAGATGCTACAGTGTGTCTTGATGCAGACATGACATAAAATGAAAATTTGAAATACAATTTAACTTTGCATCTGCAGCACTCAAACAGAGATTCCATTGGGATAGACTTTCCCTCTTCCTAGGCTTTTGCCTTACCTGCCTCCAGAAAACCAACATCTTTTATTAGGTAAAGCCAAATATTAGGTTTTGTCTCCCTTCACTCAGTCCTATTCTTGCCCCATAGCTTATCAATTTCTGTTTTTCAAAATGCCCGAAGTTTCAGTTTTATGGGTTGTTTGTTTCTGGAGTTTTTTCTTTTAAATTATTTTTTATTTTATTTTTTTGAATATAAATTTTTTTATTTTAAAGTTAGTTAAGGGTTAGATATACAAATATTCATTGTGCAGGTACCCTTGTTGATGAGGTGTGCCCCCCTTTCCCCAGACAGATATTGACTACCATTAATCCCACCTCCCTTCCCCTCTCTGTCCCCCCTCAATAGTTTCCCGCCACTGTCAATCCTTTTCTTATAGTATTACAGTAGTTGTACAAGGTCCACTTATGAGTGAGAACATGTGATGCTCAGATCTTTGTTTCTGTGAGAGATCACTCAGTATTATAAACTCTAATTCCATCCAGGTTGCTGCAAAATTCATGATTTTGTTCTTTTTTATGGCTGTGTAATATTCCATCATGTATATGTACCACATTTTTTTAATCCAGTCCTCTTTTGATGGACAGCATGGTTGGTTCCATGATCTTGCTATTGTGAACAATGCTGTGATAAATATGCGAGCAGCCAACAGATACATGAAGAAATGTTCAACCTCACTAGTCATCAAGAAGATGCAAATTAAAACTACACTGAGATACCACCTAACTCCAGTTAGAACAGCCATTATCAATAACTCAAAAAATAACAGTTGCTGGAGAGGGTGTGGTGAAAAGGGAACACTTCTACACTGTTGGTGGGAGTGTAAACTAGTGCAGCCTCTGTGGAAATCAGTGTGGCGATTCCTAAAGCTCTAAAAATCAACCTTCCTTATGACCCCGCAATCCCCCTACTGGGAATAAACCCTGAAGAACTCAATTCACTCTATAAAAAAGATACCTGCACAAGTATGTTTATTGGGGGTAGGGGGATGAGTTGGGGTATCACTCCATTGCCCAGGCTGGAGTGCAGTGGCATACTCATGACCACCCCAGTATTAACCTACTGGGCTCAGGCAACCTTTCTGCCTCAGCCTTCCAAAGTAGACAGAATTACAGGCGCACGCTACCAAGCCCAGCTAATTTTTTGATTTATTGTAGAGATGAAGTCTTGCCAAGTTGCCCAGGTTGTTCTCAAGCCCGTGGGCTCAGGCAATCCCCTCACCTCAGCCTCCCAAAGTGCTGGGATTACAGGCTTGAGCCACCATGCCCTGCCAAGTTTCAGTTTTTAAGAAACCAATAATGTGATACTAATATGTTTCAAAAAGAAAATAATAAGTTAGCTGTCCTTGGATATTATACTCACTTTGCAAAACTGATTTTTTTTTTTTTACAGGACATTCTAGAGTGAACCTGGGTCACGTAGCATCATAGGTGTTCTAAGTGTATCAGTTGGGACTTGAGTTCCCAGACCTGCTGGTTCGCCAGGTGCTGTTCCTGGAGTAACACATGTACTCTTTGGTTTCTAACATTTTTGAAAGACATTAAAATCAACTCCCCTACTTCTCAGCAGCCTGAAGGCATTCATGGTGAAGTTCCAGTACATTTGGTTCACATGACATCACGTTTTAAAAGCCCTATTAGGAGGAAAACAGGTTTCTTTTCATCTAAACTTCTTTAGAAATAAGGCATTTGTAGATTACAGCTAAAATTTAAGAGAAAATATGCATTCATAATGAATTATTATCATCATTCTGAAGAATTGCATTATATTTAGTGTCTTTTTAAAGATGTGTAATCATATCACTGTGTTTAGAAAGGAATTAATAAAATGAATTTGATTACATTCCTAGGTCGTTCCTGTCTGGGATGGTTTGTAATGTGGTGGATACCTGGAGTAGGAGCCCTTCTTATGCTTCCTGATCCTGAGGTAAGCCCTGCTCTCAGTAGCACTGAAAGGTGTTCTACCTGCCTCTCCTACACACAAAACTAATAGGAAAATGGCTCTTTGAAACAGAGACATAAGCATGGCCTTAAATTATTCAAGGTCTTCATTACTAATTAATGTACATCTGTGAGCCCTTAAAGATAGGGCACCCTCAGATTTCACAATTCTGTATGCAGCTGCCAGGCAGTCAGAACAAAAAAGCAACTGCACGTTTGAACTCTGCATCAGAAACCTGTGTTTACTCAGCTCTTCCCTCTCCAGAGCCACCAGGTCATTTTCCAGCATGTTTGACTAGAGTGCTTCTCCAGAGAAACTGAGGAAAAGGTAAGGACAGGCATGGTGGCCAAGACAGAATGTCTCCAGGTGTGTGTCCTATGGACTAGATAGAGGCCAGACTCTTCCAGGTCCACCTGGGGACCTCTGTGAGAGTCTGGGGGAGCATGTCTATACCAAGAAGAGTCCTAACCTGATGTCGCATGCTACAAACTTTCTAAATCTTACTTGATATATTCAAAACCTTCCTAGGTTTTGGCAACTATTCTATCATATGTTTAAATAACGAATACAACCAGGTTTTGCTTTATTTTGTCTTTTTGGAAAATGCTATTTATCTGCCCAAATAGTTTGTGTGCTAATTCATTCATTCATTAAAATGGAGTAAAATACTATTTATATTTCATTATTACATAACTTTTTAAAACAATTTTCAATGGCCCATATTTACAAATATGTCTTTTTCTTAGAACTAGGCACATAAAGCTTTTTTATAGCATAACCTATTCTTTTTTTTTTTTGGAAAGAAAATATATATAATATAGGCCGGGCTTGGTGGCTCAGCCTGTAATCCCAGCACTTTCGGAGGCCGAGGCGAGTGGATTACCTGAGCCCGCGGGTTTGAGACCCACCTGGGCAACTTGACGAGACCTCATCTCTACAGCAAATCAAAAATTAGCCGGGTGTGGTAGCGCACCCCTGTGGTTCCAGCTACTTGGAAGGCTGAGGTGGAAGGATCACCGGAGCCCAGCAGGTCGAGGTTGCGGTGGCCTGGAGCGGCCACTGCACTCCAGTCTGGGTGACAGAGTGAGACTCCAACTCAAAAAAAAATAAAAATTAAAAAAAATATATATATATATAGAATGTAGAATATACACACATACACATATATAAGGGGACTTAAACATGTTTGTGAAAAGTGAAATTTAAAACTAAAAATATAAATTTTATTTAACATAGGTTCCATCATGTTCAAGACTTTTTTAAAGCAATGATACCAATCAATAGTCCATCCCTAAAGAACTGAGGGTCCTGGGAGTTCAACTGTGTCAGTTCAGGATTTTGTTGTTGTTGTTTCTTTGTTTTTGTTTTTACAGTATTACTGAAGAAAAATAGGTGCCCTTTACAAAGTTATTGCTGTTGTTGTTGGTTTTTTGTTTGCTTGTTTGTTTTTTGAGTTAAAGTCTCACTCTGTCACCCAGGCTGAAATGCAGTGGCACACTCATGGCCACCCCAGCATCGACTTGCTGGGCTCCAATGATCCTTCCTCCTCAGCCTTCCAAGTAGCCAGAGCTACAGATGCACATTACCAAACCTGGTTAATTTTTAATTTATTGTAGAGACAAGGTCTCACCAAGTTGCCCAGACTAGTGTCGAACTCTCAGGCTAAGGCAATTCACTTACTTCAGCCTCCCAAAATGCTGGGATTACAGGCTGAGCCACTGAGCCTTGCCTATGGTTTTTTTAAGATTAGAAAACAAAAGTCAGCCAAATCAGGACTGTAAGGTGGCTGCCTAATGATGCTTCTTAGAAACTCTCACAAAATTGGCCTTGTTTGATAAGAGGAGTGAGCAGGAGCCTTGTCATGGTGGAGTAGGACTGTCTAGTGAAGCTTTTCTGAGTGTTTTTCTGCTAAAACTCTGGCTAATTTCTCAAAACACTCTCATAATAAGCAGATGTGGCTCTGTGGCCCTTCAGGAAGTCCAGAAGCCACATGCCTTGGGCATCTCAAAACACTGTTGCCATGACCTTTGCTCATGATAGGTCTTCTTTGTGCCTGAATCACATCTACCCCTTGGTAGCTTTTGCTGTGGTTGTGCTTTGTCTTCAGGATAGTACTGAGAAAGCCATGTTCTATCTTCTATTACAGTCCTTTGAAGAAATGCTTCAGGATCTTGATCCCTCTTGTTTAAAATTTTCACTGAAAGCTCTGCTCTTGTTTGAAGCTGATCTGATAGCAACAATTTTGGCACCCATCGAGTGGGAATTTGCTCAACTTTAATTTTTCAGTCAGAACTGTGTAAGCTGAACCAGTTGAGATGTCTGTGGTATTGGCTGTTGTTTCTGCTGTTAGTTGTTTGTCCTCTTCAATTAGGGCATGAACAAGATAAATGTTTATCTCAGAAATGGATGTGGATGATCTGCTACAGGCTTCATCTTCAACATTGTCTCATCTCTTCTTAAGGTGAGTTTTCCATTTGTAAATGGCTGATTTCTTTGGGGCATTTTCTCCATAGACTTTTCATGAAGCATTAGTGATTTCATCCTTCTTCCACCCAAGCTTCACCATCAAATTGATGTTTGCTCTTGATTCCCTTTCAGCAGAATTCATGTTGCTCTTTTTAAATTCATATCAGCAGCTGCGGGGTTGAGGTGGTGATGGCGGGCAGCAGGCCCAAGGGTGCCCTGAGCCCCCAGTGAGGCCTGCGTTGTGCCTCGGCCCAGGGGGCCATGCTCCTAGGGGCCAGGGCATCCATCCAGCACACAGCCCGTGAGGCCAGGAGCCCCCTGAAGTCTCAAATGACCCCTGCAGTAAGACCAAAGCCATTGCTTTTGAAGTTGTTACAGTCTGTTGGTGCACAAAAAGACACACAATGAAAGAGGTTCTGTTTTACCTTGGCCAGTACATCATGACTAACCGCCTGCATGACAAAAAGCAGCAGCATATTATGTATTCTTCAAACAACCTTCAGGGAGACCTGTTTGGCGTGCCCAACTTCTCTGTGAAGGAGCACAGGAAAATATAGACACTGATCTACAGAAACTTGGTGACAGTTAACCAGCAGGAACTTGCAGTCTCTGGCACATCTGTGAGTGAGGACAGGTATCACCTTGCAGGCAGGAGTGATGCAAAGGACCCTGTCCCAGAGCTATAGGAAGAAAAGCCTTTGTCTTCACATGTGGCTTCCTGTTCATTTGCCTCATCTAGAAGGAAAGCCATCAGTGAGACAGGATCTTGATGCTGGTATAAGTGAGCATTCAGGTGATTGACTGGATCAGGATTCAGTTTCAGATCAATTTAGCGTAGAATTTGAAGTTGAATCTTTTGATTCAGAAGATTACAGCCCCAGTGATGAAGGACAAGAACTCTCCGATAAAGATGATGAGGTGTATCGGGTTACTGTGTACCAGGTGGGTGAGAGTGATACCGACTCCTTTGAAGAAGATCTGGAAATTTCCTTAGCTGACTACTGGACATGCATCACTTGCAACAAGGTGGACCCTCCCCTGCCGTTGCACTGCAACAGGTGCTGGGCCCTGCATGAGAACTAACTCCCTGAGGTCAAAGGGGAGGATGGAGGGATGCCCCTGAGAAGGCCATGCCGGAGCACTCAGTGCAGGCTGAGGAGGGCTTCGATGGTCCCAATTGTAGAAAGACTTCAGCGAGCGATTCCAAGGAGCCAAGTCCTGAGAAAAGTGATGAGAAGGTTGCACCAGCCTCCCAGTCGCAGGACAGCGAGGACTACTACCAGTCATCCATTTCAAGTAGCATCACTTGCAGCAGCCAGGAGGACTTCTGAGAGTTTGACAGAGAAGAGATGCAAGACAGGGAAGATGGCGTAGAGGCTAGCTTTCCTCCTCAACAGCATCGAGCTGTGTGTGATCTGCCAAGGTCGATCCAAGAACAGGTGTATCATGCATGGCAAAACCAGACACCTCATGGCCTGCTTCCCGTGTGCCAGGAAACTGAAGAAGAGAAACAAGCCCTGCCCGGTGTTCAGCAGCCCATACAGATAATCGTGCTAACCTACTTCCTCTAGCAGCCCCGCGGCAGCTCTCCTGACTGGAGGACCCCAGGCTCCTGGGCAGCATGAAGTATGTTTTTATTTACATATATCAAAGTGAGACTCATCTCATCCCAGAAAGAGTTCTTCTCTTTAGTGTAATTCCTCTCCCTACCTTAGGAGAGGAATCGTGAATACATTTACTTCCATTTAAAAATAAAAATAAAAGAATAAAAAAATAAATTCATGTCTCACACTTCTTAGTGCCTCAAACTAGATCCTGCTCAGACATGTTATAATAGGTTAGTATGATTTTATTTGGTGCAAAAAATTGAAATCCATGCATAGTTTCTCATAATATGCATTTTTCATGAGCTTTTTAAAGACTTCTTGTGTGTGTGTATGTGTGTAGTTTAAACAATAGTTGCAAGATGAGATGATGAACAAGATAGCTAATTGATCACTTTAAGAAAAATAAAATATTACCTGAATCCTATGTATACACACTTAGATGAATCTATAAATAGGTGTGTGATAAATCAATAGTATTTGTTAGAAATTTAATATGTGGAATTATTTAGCCTAGTGTTATTAGAAATTTAAGTACTAAGAGCTTCACATTTTTGTTCTTAAAATTCAGATAAATTTACATTTTTCTGAAGTGAGAATACAGTCCACTCTTAAGATTATAATGCCTCAAAGATTCTAAGTATTCACGATATTTGTTCCAGGAACTGTGCTCAGTCTTCTGCACAGTAAGGCCAGTGTCGGAGCCTCTGTCTGTGTTCCTCCTTTCATCATCCTGAGAAAATCCACAGCATCCCTGACACCTTGTGTCATGGTTCCTCAGGTAAAAGTGTTTGTGCAGTTGTCTTCTTGCTTCCCACTCTCATGCTCCCACTACAAAATCCTCTGCTTAAAAATGCTGATTCATTTCTAGCTGCAGGGACGCTCTTGCCATCTGCCATTCCAGAACATTAGTGACATGGACCCAGATAAACAAGGTGAGTGTTATTGTAAAGTTTGTAAACAAAAGAATGAGGTGCAGGTGTTGTATGTTCAGACCTTGGAGTTGCAGAAGAGTAAGTATTTGGCAAAATTCTATCTGAAAAAGAAACTGTTATTTGATTAAAGTGACTTTCTCTTCTAAAGAGAAATCCATCATATACTGAAGAGCTCTTGGTCTATTGTTTCCAAAGCACCCAAAATAATTTAACAAAATACTTGCTATCAATATAATTGCATCTTAAATTGCTATTCAAATATACAAACAGTGTTTTATCCTATTTTCATTTATACCCATAGTTTACTATTAAAATGACATCATGGTACATATGTTAATGCCAGAGATAAGTTCACAGTACTCTGTGGGCCCAAGTTGGGAGAAAAGGCCCCATAGCTGTCCCTGTGAATATGTGGTAATTGGATGTGAAGAAACCAGTTCTCCTTTCTTCTACCAACTCTGAAGACCAAGTTAGGCCTAGGGCAGGTCTGTGACATTTTCATTGCTGGATCTATTTACAGCTTTATTCCCCTAGCTAAAATCTAGATGGCTCATCTTACTTGTTTTATGCAAAATTCTATACAATCTCAAGTTGTTCATCTAAAACAGCATTGCAAGTGATTCCAGTTGTTTTGGGTTTTTCCAATGTGGGCCCTCATATTAATTCTCTCAACCTAAAGCAGCAGACCATCCCTTCAAAGCCATGCTGTCTCTCTGAAGCAGAGTTTCTCACAATCAGTACCATCAGGGTCTCCTGGAGGATTTGTGAAGATGCAGCACAGGTTCAGGATGGGGCCCTGGAGTGTACCCTTCTACCAGGTCCCCAGCAACGCAGGCATAGCTTGCCTGGGACACTTGGGGAACTGCTGGCCTGAAGCACCTACTTCTGGATTGTCAAACTAGACGATGGGTGGTTGAGAAGGAGGGAGTCATGCTCATCTCAGCATCTATGGAAATGAGCACACTTATGCAGCTAAGCAAAAATAGGAACACTTGGAAGCAAAGACGTTTCTCTGTCAGACGGCGTCCATGAACAAGAATACATGTGGCTTGTGCTGTTATTTCTTTAAGCATCTAAAACTTCTTTGCTCATAGCTCTAGGCATGATGCAGTCAGTGATTTCTTCCTCTCCTGAGTTTTTTCCACCATCAGAAACAATCTTAAGGCGCAGTCTTGAGGGAGCAGGTATAGTGGTGGCCCAACTGGCTATGTCCCCACTGTCCATGCCACATTCTGTCCCAGCTTGCCAGGACACACCACATGACTTCATCAGATGATGCTGCAAAGCAGAACCTGACAGGACTGTGGTGGGCCTGGCTGCAGAGCACCGTCTAGGAATGAGCAGATCCCTAGTCTGCTGATTTTCTGCATCTGAGAGGAACCAGGGCACAAGCACTGGTCCACATCCAGAGGAGAAGGGAATGCTGGGCATTGCACATTAAACCATCTCCACCCTATAACATTCACTCTCAATTGTCTTCCTTCTCCAGACCCGGGGCAGAGTTATTTCTGATTTCACCTCTCTTGAACACTGAATTAAAACACTTAGTTCTCAACTGAGAAATAAGGAAATAATGAATTCAGATTAAGTTTAGAGCAAATTGTAGGTTTGGGGGTATATTTTTTCCTGTTGGACAGAGAATGAAGAAAATGTAGAAGATTTTTAAACAGAATCTTTTGTTTTGGTAGCCCTTTTTAGGGACAGCCCACACTCGTCAAAGGTGTGTGTCTTCAAGTCATGACCACCTATTGATGGCTGGACATATCCAGGGAGAGGCAGCTGGTGTCACCAGCACTCCAGGTCAGGTCTGGCCAGACTCAGGGCATAACCATCTCTGTGACTTAGCATGACAGTTGAGGGCAAGAAATGTCATCTTCCAAACCAAAATCAGGTCACTGCAGTGTGGTATGAAGTTTAGACAGAGTTAAGTTCGGGAAGGAGTCACAACCCCCGCCCCCTGAGACAGAGAGGAACCGCTTACTCGGAATGTCTGGTCAAGACCCTGATCCAAGCAACTTGGGGCCACCACTTGTCAAGCTCTTTGCCTTGGGCTCTGGAGTCCACTTGAAGACAGGGAGACGCCATGTAGAGATGGCCACAGAAGTCCTTGGCATACTGGGGCTAATCTCCTGCGGGGGGGGGGTATACCAGGCAGCCACCCCTCCACTCAGGCACTGCTGGTGAGGGCAACCTGGAGACGCCCCATGCCCCAGTCCCAGGTAGGCTACTCCTCATTTTCCTGTCCAGGATTAGCCTCTCCAGCAGGAAAACACCAGGTTAACTCTTTGATGGACCTGTCTGTCCTATTAAACGAAGGCCTGAATTAGGGTGACTTCAAGGGTGTCCCTTAAACATAAAGAAACTGTTATACCTCCAAAGGAGTAAAAAGAGCTTAGACCTTGGGGCACACTCAAGATGGACAAGAAAACATCACCTTCCTATTCTTTAAATTCTCTCATTGCTGCAAGAAAAAGATTAATATCACCACAAATTATCCAGCCGCTTGTGTTTGAACCCGTGAAACTTCCAGCCATCCCTTATTTCACGTTTGCTCAGGGCCTGCTTAGCCAGGACCAAGAATCAGCCTGTTTTGGCCATAGAACTCCCAAGTGCCAGTCACTAACTCCCCACTGCCTGAGTCTTATCAACTCACCATGATAAATTTGAAGGTGGTTTATTTTTCTCAAGGTTCCTTCCCTGCATGTGATAAACTCGAGTAAGTCTTGGGCTCCAACCCTGCCTGGAGTGGGCATTCTGGATGTGAACTCTCTTTCCTGGGAATCTGTTATCACAAGGAGTGTTGGAGATACAAAGTTGCCTGGCATCTCTTTCCACAGTCTGACTAGCTCCTCCTCCACTCCCACCTACTTTGTGCACATCTTACCTGTTCCTCGAGTCTCCGCCCACAGCAGGTGAACTGTCCTCACTTCATAGAGAAAACAACAGCCCTGACATGACCCTTTCCCTACACCCATTTCATGTCCTCTCCTTTCTCCCAGGGAGCGAGGAGCAGCCTTCCTGCCGCATGCACTGCCTCCCACCCCACGTGGTACCCATCCAGCGTCTCTACCCAGTGGAGTGCATGAGTTAGCAAAAGCCCCAGTTGTTTGTGATGAAAACTTAGCTCAGGGAGACTTTATTAACTCACAGAGTTCGTAGCCCAGAAAAGGATCTAACGTGGTAACTGCAGTTAGTAACAAAGCACTATGTTCTTGAAAAATGCTAAGAGAGTAGATTTCTTTTCTTTCTTTTTTTTTTTTTTTTTTTGAGTCAAAATCTCACTCTGTTGGAGTTGCAGAGGCACGCTCAGGGCCACCACTGCCTTCACCTGCTGGGCTCAGACAATTCTCATGTCTCAGCCTCTTAAGTAGCTGGAACTACAGGCACACACCACCACTCCTAGCTACTTTTTAGATTTTTTTTTTTTTGGTAGGGACAAGATCTTACCATGTTTCCCAGCCTGATCTTGAACTGCTGGCCTCAAGCAATACTCTCACCTCAGCTTCCCAAAGTGCTGGAATTGCAGGTGTGAGCTACCTGGCCTGGCCTAAGAGAGTAGATTTTAAGTGTTCTCACCAAAAAAAAGAAGAAGAAGTTATGCATATGTTAGTTAACTCATTAACAAATTCCACAATGTAGATGTATTTCTAAACAACATGCTGTATGAGACAAATATATACAACTCTTATTAGTCAGTTAGATTAAATAACCAAGGAAGGACTAGCTTGCCCAGGCTCAGATATTGTCACCAGGAAGTGGTTTCTCCAGCTCCAGGTTCATCTCTGCTCACTGTTGTATGATTTCATTCTCAAGCTAAATAACCTGATAAGAGTGTAACTGCTGTACCAATTTGCAATTCCAAGTTCAAGTCCAGCAGAAAATAAAAATAAAATAAGTCTGCTTCCCTGGTACCTTGAACAGAGTCCTGGAACAGTTTCCTTGGCTTGAGGTTTGCCTGATTTGGACCCAGACCATCTCATGGAATCAGGTTGGGGGAGGTGGGTCACTGGAAGAAAGGAAAATAAATGCTGGATGCCCAAGGGATGAGGTGCCCACCAAGATTGACTGTACTATCTCCGACTGCACCTGGATCCCACTCTTGACCCACAGCCTCTTCCCTCCTTCAGTTCCCCGTCCCGGACCAGCATAGACAGTATGGAACCTCTCCTGCCTTTGGAAACTGATGTTGATTTCATGTGTTGATCCAGCTGCGGTTCTTTTGCCTTCCCTCCAGGTTAAAGATCGTGAAATTTTGTCTGCTTTTATATTTCTATTTACCCTGTGTTCATTGCTCCATCCTCTGCAGTTTGATTTTCACATTCATGACTCTGCTGAAACTGCTGTTGCAGAGACCTTTAATAATCATTTAATCAGACCAGGCTCAGTGGCTCAGCCTGTAATTCCAGCACTTTGAGAGTCCAAGGTGAGTGAATTGCCTGAGTCTGTGGGTTTAAGACCAGCCCAGGCAACTTGGTGAGACCTCGTCTCTACAATAAATTTAAAAACTTAGCCGGGCATGGTAGCCTGTGCCTGTGGTTCCAGCTACTAGGAAGACTGAAGCAGAAGGATCTCCAGAGCCCAGCAGGTCGACACTGGGGTGACCGTGAGGGTGCCACTACACTCCAGTTTGGGTGATGGAATGAGACTCCAACTAAAAAAATTATCATCATCATCAAGCTAATCATAAAACACAAAATCAATAAATTTCCTTTCTACCCATCACTTTTCAACATTGACTTGCCTCAGATTTACCTCAAGGCCCTGTTAAGGTGCAGGTCATTGGGCTTCACCCCTGGATTCTGCAGCTGAAGACTCAGAGTTTTGTCAGAAGTTGTATTTACAGCAAGTTCCCAGGCCACACTGCTGCCACTGGCCCAGAAACCCTGCTGTGAGAACCAGGCTCTACCCCAGTGATAACCAGTGGGCACAGGCCATTTTAGGGGACTAAACAAACTAAACAATTAATGTATGAGACCCGATAAAGTTTTACTGAACGACATTACAGATAGATGAGTAAGTGGAAGGTAGACTCTGGTTTTTGTTATGTCACGATCTGAAGGCTGATCCTTTCCATCTCAAGTAACAGAAAGTTCTGCTATGAGATTGCTCTATGCCTCTTAAACAAAATGAAAATCAAATTCAGAGGACTGATGAAACAGATTTAAAATTCTAAATCCTCAAGGGAAGTACAAGAGACAAGCAAGCATGCTACCTACATTTTCTTACTCAAGTTATAAAAATACCTTATGAAGAGTGCATAATAATCTCTGCATATCTGACATAGAAGCTGAAGATCAAAAATAAATGAATCTTCCTAAAAGAAAAGGAAGGACAGGAAAGGAATGTGGCTGGCTCTGGGCTCCCTTCTCTCTACACGGAAATGGGCAAGCATATACCCAGGGTCTGGAAGGGCTCAGAAATTTGAGTCTCGCTGCATTGCCAATGGTGAGGACTCTCAAAAGAAGGTGTTAATGATTCTTTTCTGATCATGCAAATAACATACTCTTCACAAAAACTTAGGTGATATTGACAAACAGGAAGGAAACAACTGCAAGTACTATATATAATTCAAGTACTTGGTGATGTCCACTGTTCACAAGAGGATGGGCAGCCCTAGAAGTTAAGCACCATAGGGTGGGCATCTTTATCAGATGAGTTGACTGCTGTATCTCAAGGGTCTAGAATCATGCCAGGGCCATGTAGTAAGAGCTCAATAAACACTTGCTAAATGGTCGAGTGAATGGAGGGCTTTGAGGTTTTTTCACTTATGCATAAATGCATGTGTCCACATATAGCTAGAAAATATTAACAGAATCGAGTTTATATTCTACATATAGTTTTTGTCCTATTTGTTTCACAAGACCAGTGCCTTTTTAATAAAAAGTGGATGGATTGATGGAGGGCCACTCCGACTTTTGTGGACTTGGAGGGTATTCTTCAGGGTCACTTGCATCCCTGGGGTAGTGTGAGTCTGTTTTTGTTTCCAGATAGGAAAAAAGAGCTAAAAAAATCTCGAAACCTGTACAATAGCATGTAAAATAGCATGGCCTCTAGGATTTCCTTCCAGGATGTGGGATTCACACAATGAGATGGTCCTTTTCCCATAATATGTCATGTTTTCTTTACAGATGCTCCTAATAGCATTGAGAATTCCATTTATAGAACAGCTTTCAAGTTACGATCTGTGCAAACTCTGTGCCAACGTAAGTACAGTTGTCCTTGGAACATTTGACGTAACCTGACCTGCATATTGTAAACTTCATTGAGAAACAAGAACTCTCCCACGCAGTGACTGCTGGACTCAAGAAGGCTGTGCCTATGCAATGAGTTGGTTTAAACTAGAGAAGATGACAGGGTGGAGCAGGGGACATTGTGTGCATTCAACACACAGACAGCTAAACTGGCAATAAAAAATGATGTGGATGATGATTTAAACAATTTGGAAGGCAGTTTTTCCATTTGGCTTCTAGAAAACTTTCCTGTTTATCTTTTCAGGACACCGATATTGACACAAAACAAAATTACAAAAAAGAAAAGTTAGTTAGAATAAGTACTTATAGATTTAAGTATGAAAATTTAAAATTTCTCCTAACGTAAGATTTTCATTTCCAAGTTGTAATCTCTTATCTATATCTGAATATGCAAAAGTAGGTTCAAATGAATAATAATCCATAGACTACAAATTTTAATACTCTTTTGAGAATTCTCTGAGAATTCCTTTTCCATTAAATTTACATTTCATTGAATGCTATGGTTTTCTTTTCTTATACTATTATCTAGACAAAATAAGGTAAAATATAGTCAAAATATTTATCCTGTGAAAATTCTCCAAAATGAAATAAATTGGGCCCTAGCTGTGAAAAACCCCAGACATTCAGCATATCTAAAAGTTATCAATTTCTCACAAATTATTTACTGCATTAAAAAATCGCTTCATGTGAAACTCTCTGAAAAGTATCACATTGAACCTAAAAGAATTGTGTTATATATATGATATTTCTATTGATATCTTATATGCTTTAATATTTTTAAAACTATTTTTCCATCTGCCTAAAAAAGTTATATAGGGCAGTGGTCTTCAACCTGGTCTTCCCAAAGTGTGTGTGAGGTAGGGCATGAGAGGGTCAGCAGGGTGGGAAGAGGGGTCGAGGGGCAGGATGTCTCAAGTACATCCTCAGCGGGGGCTCCATATTTCTCTGTCTTCCATACTGTCCTGTGTAGCAGGCTCCTGTGGAGAAGAAAGTTTTGGCTTTGCAGACATTTGGTTTACATCACTGCTCTAGAAAAATGAACTGGCTTATAGCTATTTTTTATTATTCTAGAAATAGACAAAAGGCAGAATTTGCTCACTAAAAATTGACTCCCTGACTGTAAAGGGAGAATTTCTCCCTTTAGAGAAAATTAGCAGCAATTGTCCTCGTAAGTCTCTGTCATGAATGTCTGAGTAGATCCCACAGTGTAATTTTAGGATGTACATTTTTTATCATTTTGTTGTCCCTAGCGTCAGAAACAGTGAATATAAATAACATTCTTAGGAACTATTAACAACATTCAAAATCAGTGGTTGAAAGAGTCTTCCTAGAAAAGATATCCAAACAAAAATTTGAAAACAGAAAAGTTCTAAACACTAAGATAAGGCTTGACGGAACCCAGGTAGCAGACCTGAGCTCACCACTGCCATGTCCTGTGGGGAAGTGGTGGGTGCCCCTCTTGTCTGGCCTGGTGTGATGTGGAACTCTCAGTCGAGGTGATAGGTTTTCAGAATGCAAGGGTTTATGACCTGTACCACCTGCAACTGGGCTTTTATTTAAATCACATCCCGAAAACCTACTCCTGCATTCCTTAGACACTCCTCCTGAAAGCAATAGCAAAGGATAAATATAAATGTTTATTACACTTGCTGGATTTCTTCTCTGTGAGGTTGATTTACAAAGTGAGAGCAGACCAAGTTTTGTGGTTTTGTGGGCAAGAGAGTTGTAAACAGTTTGTGATGTCCCCTCTCAGTTGGGCAAGCAGCTCTCTATTCATTTTGCCTGTCATCCTCTCTCTTCATGAGAAGTTACAAAGTGCTCTATTACCTTCTTGAACCTTCATTGCCTTGTAAAAATTTTAGGAGAAGATGGTTAAAAAATATATTCAGTGTAAGAAGTAAGCACTCTAGTTGCCAAGTGCCTTCTCTAGATAATACTACTGATAGACAAAGATTTTAAGAGTGATACCACAGAGTGCTGGATTAAAGGAGTCTCCTAAGTCAGTCATTGCTCGTTTATAAAGATTAGTGGGCTTTCAATCAAGGAAACTGCATTTGAACACACCACATTGCTCTGAACCCAGGCTGCAGACAGGAAAAACCGTATTTGAACTGAAAGTTACATTTGTTCAATCCATTTCCCAACAAGTATAAACACATTTCCCCAACTTTTCACTGCGGTGTCCTAACTTTCTTGGAAAGCACATTTTTCAGTTTTCTCACTTCCCATTTTAACTTCACTCTATAAAACAGCATCCTAGAAAGTGTCCTGGTAATGATGTTATAACTATGCTTTACTAACAGATGTACTTTTCCAAAATCAAACGAGCAGTCAGAATAGCAATACTTGAATTCTGCACAAGAGATGTGTGCCCCAAGGGTAGACATACTGAATTATCTTTGAGGAAAATAGTTACAACAAAAAGTCTTGATAAAACCCTAAATGAAATTAGCTTTATTTGAAGTCTTTGCTCCCACCAGAAGATGAGGCTCGCTCTTCATGTGCTTCCTGCAGTGGACCTAGTTGACAGTTCCCTGATCCAGCACGTCCTGCTGCGCCAGAGCCTCCGGGCCACAGGAGATCATGCCCTCCCAGCATGGCAGCTTCTGCAGGCACTCCGAGAGTTGTTCCAGAGGGTTATGGAGGAACAGCCAGGACAGGTGCACCCCGGAGCTCCAGAACTTACCCTGAGCCTGCTCACAGCCATATATGACAGGTGAGGAGAGAATGTCATGCTGTGGCCTCCACAGCAATGCTGAGTTGTCCCTGGTCATTCAACACTCGGTGAGGTCTAATATCCACGTGGGGTTAGTATGAAAGATGCCTTTTTTTGTTCTTCCCAAATGTATTCCTCATTCAGGAGAGGAACAAATAAGTGAATGCTCGTCAGCTTTTCTAATATAAATGATCCATGAGTAGTAAAGGGGGAGATTCTGCATGACTCTTTCTTCATACAGAGGCACTCTTATTCTAGAGAAGCATTCACACATGCAGAGTGACTACACTCTGAATATAAGGGAGAACCCCGAAAAAAACTGGAATTATTTTTAGGAGGGCAAACCCCTTATAGTACAGGCTTCCTTTGCTAGGTAATTATCCTAGGAAGTCACCTCCATGCTAACGTTGTTGTGAAAGGCTGCTTTCAGCGTCGGTGAACTTTTTTTTTTTGAGATCCTTTCAGTGCATTTGTCCATTTTATCATGGGAGATTTATTAACGCATCTGCCCACACTACACTGAGTGTTCAGCACTTTTTGACCAAAAATGGTATGACCCCCATGCCCCACCCTCCCTATTCCCCAATCTTGCCCCAAGTGACATTTTTTTGTTTCCCTGGATGAAGAAAAGTTCTGAAAGGGAAGCATTTTGCTGATGTGGAAGAGGTGACACAAAAACCAGAAACACTAAAAAAAGGCATAAAAATTGATGAACTCAAAAATTGTTTTGAGCAGTGAAAAAAAGTATCTTGATAGGTGTATTGCATCAAACAGAGAGTACCTTGAAGGTGACTAAAGTTTAAGCATGTGAGAATAAGTACCTAATTTTCTATAAATAAATTCCGGATTTTTTGAGTCCCCCTTGTATATGTGGAAAACCACACTCCACCCCTGAGTCACCAACAGCTTCTTTCTTTGCTCACTTCTTTGTTCTCCATGATCACTTTGCTTTGTTTTTTAAATTAGAATAAGGCTGACTCACCTGTGTGCAGATGGCTAGCCTATAAACCAGTGTAGAACATGTCCAAGGGTTGCTCATGTGTGCCCTGGAATGAATAGTTCTGCGTGTGTGTATGTGTGTGTGTCACTAAACTATGGGGTTTACATCCCTCTGATCCACCCCAATTTGGCCTGCCTCGTATAGTCTTGACTCATCCTTTAGAATGAACTTTTTAAAAATCACCAAAAAAAAAAAAATTGCAGTGAATACAGACATTTGGAAAGTAGAGAAACAGAGTAAAGAGGAAAGCCAGCACGACCCATCAGTCCACCTCCCCCATGAAGGCAAGTCTCTACCACTGGGCAACTTCTTGCAGATGTCTTCTTTCCTAGTTTATTAGTTATTTTTTAGTTTCACCAAGAATATATAAACACATTCTCAAGGCATTTTTTTCACGATTCTACCTCCTTAAACATTAAGCTTCCAACCATCATTCCTGCCACCCAAGCCACCAGCAGTCCTCCTGCCTGGACTAATGAGTGAGTGAGAGGCAATCAGGCTCTGGATGAGCCTATGAATGGGTGGGATTTTATTTTTGCATAAATATTTGCTCCTTGCCTGCCAAGATTCTTGTCTCTGTTTGGTTTCCAGGCAGATGAGGCCTAAGAATGAGGCTCCCTGGCCGTAGGATACAGGATATCCCCAGGCTTGGTGCAGTACTCAGCACAGAGGAAACACCCAGCAAATACTCTAGGAATGAATGAATGAACGAATGGTGGAACATGTTAACTCGGCATTCTGTCCTGCTAAGTTCTGGGTAACAGATAAGAGGCTGTGAAAAGCTGGAACTTACAGCACCCTGTCAGAAACGCCCATGAATATAGTTCAGTGTCTCTAACCCCTACACCGAGGGTAACCTGACCTGCCCATGCGTGTCTATGTTTTGTTGTCAGCAGCACAGGAACTGGCTTTCTTCGGCTTGTGCCTGCAGCTGCTGCCCTGCTAGCCCTCTCGGGGGACAGCCCACTTACAAAATACAGAGGTAACACAAAGGGTCTGTGTGTCCTGCAGTGCATGACCCCAGCCCAGCCTGCCATCTTCTCCTCCCCTGCCACCTGTGGTTCCTGTTCAGCAAGCATGTTCAGGGAAGACAATGGTTAAGATGGGAGAACCTGGAATTGCTTGAGATTTACGACTCCTATTTGCTCATGTCTTGGTTGGTCTTGATTTTTATTTGTTTAGGATTATCAAGACACCAGTAATTCTCACAGTTTTAGAGAGTGGGAAACCTCCCATCTCCACTTACCACCCTGTGGTCTTCACAGGTGTGCAGGATTCCCGCGGTGAATGTAAATGAGCTTCATTGGATTATCTAGCTTGGAGGCCTCCAATACAGAGAGCTAATAATCAAGAATGTCCTCTCCCCATCCCCCTTCATTGCTACAGCCTGTCACGTCAGAGCACGTAGTCCTCAAAGGCACATAGTAAGTATTTTATTTAAAGACTTCTTTCCCCATGTGTCCAGCTCTTTTTCAGCTCTACGCAGGAGGCAGCTGGGGAGGTCACAATTTCGGGGCACGCATGACTCGCCGGGCTTTGAGAAGCCTGCTCACAGATCTTCAGCAGGTAGACCCTAATACTTAAGAATTCCACACTTGTCTTCATCAACTAGCCACATCTAATCTACAGAATCTGGTGTTTACAGTGTTTATTGCACCTTTATATGGCTTCTCTCTGTCTCCCTCTCTACATCCTCTTCTATTACCTGAGTAGAGGCCCAGTACCTTCAGATTCACCTGGCATCATTGCCAGCTAACTAGTTCCAACTCCAGCCTCCCCTTCCCTAACTCCTCTTCCACACTGCAGCCAGTAACCTTTCACAAAGGCAAATGTCACCCCCATGCCCAACACCCGTCACTGGCCATTTATGTATTGGATAAAGCCAATATCTGCAGCCAACTTGCTCTTCTGTTCTTGAGCAAAATATCAAATCTCAATCACTCCTTTTTTAATTTAGCTTTTAAAATATTTAACTGGTAATTAGAAATAGTATATATTCAAGGTATATAGCATGAATATTTGGCATTCATTTACATTATGTAATTATTACCACAATCTAATTAATTGACACATCCATCACCACCTGTAACTACCATTTTGTGGGAACAGGGATTTGAGGACACTTACCTGATCTGTATCAAATTTCAAGCAAATGATACAACGTTGTAGCTATAGTCATCATGCTGTGTGCTACATACCCAACACATCTTATAACTAGAAGTTTATGCCTTTTAACTGACAGCCCCTCACTTTCCTGAACCTCTAGGCCCGGCACACACAGAATATGCTTTCCTTCCCTGGTTTGACAGTTTTAGCTCCCACATATAAGTGAGATCTTGCAGTATTTGTCTCTCTCTGCCAGATTGATCTCACTTAACATCCCCCAGGCTCATCAATGCTGAAGCAGATGACAGGATTCCCTCTTTTTTTTAAGGCTAAGTAGTACTCCGTTGCGTATGTCTACAACATTAAAAATCCTTCTGTCTGTTGAGGAACACATAGGTTGCTTTCTCATCTCAGCTGTTGTGGATGGTGCAGCAGTGAACTTGGGGTGCAGTTGTCTCTGAAATTGATTTTGTTTCCTTTTGCCCTTTGCTTTAAACAGGCAGGAATGATTACCACTCTACCCCAGAACCTGACATTTGTTAAAATGACACGATAGGAAACTGTTCAGAAGGGCTTTCCTTAAGCCTCTGTAAGCTTCAAGATGGTGTCACCATGATCTGCATTTCACGAAGGAGCAAGAGTAGGAGAGTTTACAAAGATTCCAGATTATAAGACATGCACCCACAGAAGGAAGCAGCCTCCTTACCCCCATGGCCGGATCTTCTCCCCTCACCCTTCTGCTTCCCGTATATTCATCTTAACCCAGACATCATACACACCTACATTCTCTCCTGCTGCCCCCTGGCTTCAGGTCATGCTCACATTCCTTGGGCTGCTGACCCCGGGGTCTCAGGTTCCCGTTTCTTCTTCTTTTTTATTAATTAATTAATTTATTTATTATAAAGATGTAGGGTACAATTCAGGGTTAGGTATACAAATATTGATCATGCTGGTACCCTTGTTGATGAGGTATGCCCCTCCCTGCCCTAGCAGTTTTCCCTAACTGCCAGTCCCACCCCCCCTTCCCCTGACGGTTTTCCGCTACTGCCAATTACTTTCTTATGGCATTATAATTGTTCAAGGTCACCTTATGAGTGAGAACATATGGAACTCATTTCTTTGTTTTTGTGATAAATCACTGAGTAGGATCGACTCCAAATCCATCCAGTTTACTACAAAGTCCATATATTTGTCCTTCTTTATGGCTGCATAATATTCCATTGTGTAAATATATATCTTCTGACACCTGACCCAAGGTTGCCTCTTGCAGATCCCTATGGTGGTGGGGGAGTGCCACTCCCTATGCTCAGTGGACAGTGCTATGCGCAGCTGCTTCCTTGGGGTGAGTCTTGCAATTGGCCCTGGAGCTGGCGGGGGTGCAGTTTGCTGACTGCTTCATCCACAGACCTGCCACTGCTCCCCACGGCACCCTGACAGCCAAGTTGGGAAGCAGAATGGCCCTGGCTCACAGGATGAGCTTCCTCAGTGGAGGGGGCAGATCAAGTCGGCAGAGGCAATAGAAATGTCTCAGGACAGCGGCAGCATGCATTGTCTTCCAGGTACTGAGCCCAGCAATCAAGGAAGAGAAGTTCTTGTCATGGGTACAGTCTGAGCCCCTCATCCTCTTGTGGCTCCCAACCTGCCACCGCTTGTCTGCTGCAGCCACAGTGACCCACCCTGCCCGATGCAGGGTCTGCAGGACCTTCCCCATCACGGGGCTGAGGTATTGTCCCAGTCATGTGGCCCCATCCCTCCAGGCATTCTCCACAGGGCCTAGCATTGAAGCTGCATCTCTTCCAGTTCTTTCTGAGGTCTCCTCACACATCCTGGCTCCACTGACTTTTTTGGCTCAATAATTCCCAGTCTGGGGCATCCTGGTTGGTAATAGATGTCATCTTCTATAATTGACGGACTATTACTTTTCTTCACAGACACGTACTCTGACTAGCAGACCCCCCAGTGTGGACATGCCAAGAAGTGTGCTGTGCGAGGGGGATATTGACTATTGTTCCCCAAAAAGCGTCTTAAATATTTTGGAGCCATGAATAATAATAATAATAATGTCTTTTTTTAATGTTGAGTAAATGCTAATAGTGGTTCACACGGGTCGTTTCATTTAACATGTTATAAGCCTACACACAAGGTGGCACCGTTAGCCCCAGTTTGTAGAGAAGTTAAACAACTTCCTTATGTTCCCAGCATCCTCAGGTGGCTGGGCCTATGACCTCAACTCCAAGCCCTGCTCTGAGACACCAATACTGCACTACTTTCTGCATAGATGCGAACAAAGTCTCAGACCCAAAGGAGTAACTGTGGTTGTAAGAGCAGCTTGGGATGGCACCCTCTCCACCCAGAGCACAGGGTGGTGTGAGCACTGACTTCTGAGGTGGGGGGGTACAGGTCTTGCCACAGCTGTGAGGATGAGTCAGAATCCCACCTTAGAGAAGGGTGCTGTGCATCTCTCATCAATGAAACAGTAGGGAAGTAAAGTTAGAGTTCTTATTAAGGAATTGGGAGGAGGGAAAGAAGCTACCAGGTCCTGGCCAGGTGTGGAAGGCCCCATTGTTCATGACAAGGAACCCAAGTGTGAGGCTGCAGATGCAGAGGGTCCACAGCACTGGGACACCCAGGATAAAGTCAACACTGTGTGCCCAGAAGGAGGAGTGGCCAGGGGGCTCCAGGGCTGAGTCTTGTCTCTGTTGTTCCCCACTTCCCATACAGCCTAGCCTTAACCAGCCCACAGTTTAAATATGCTCCCACAGACATAAATTAGATTACTGGGTACACTATACAGATGGAAATCCAGTTTCAATTTTGCTGAGAAAATGGATTGGGTTTGCAGAGACTCTGTAAGGCACAGTGACACTTCACTCATGAAAACTCTGCAAATGACTGAGCTTTAAACAAGAAAACGTATAAGTAGACAGGACTCATGGAAACCAAGCAAGCAGGACCAAGGAAATCTCCACACAACATGAACACATATTCTTTGTACGGGGCAGTGGAGGAAACTGAATGTGACTTACCATGCCATGTGCATATTACTACCATTGCACATTATCACCACTGAGCCAGCAAGCATTAGTTCAGGGGTCTCTACAAGCCCTGCACAAGGTCAGGCATAGAACCAATGTACCTGATCTGCAATGATATAAAACAAAACTTCACATTAAAATATTTTTTCAAAATTATTGTATGTAACATAAAGCAGATATTATCCCTATTCTATAAAAGACCAAAAGTGAGTCTCAAAGAGTTTGAGTGACTTACTCAAACTCACTCAAGTCTCAAAGAGTTTGAGTGGCTTATTCAAAGTCATTCAAGTCACCTAAAAAATAGCCAAGGCAAGAAGCGCCACACTTGGGATCTTAGAATATGTCCCTGTCTGTTAGAATGGGACTCAGACTCTTAGAATGCCTCCGTGTGAGCTGTCTTTCCTCCTAGACATCCAGGGAGATGAACAGCTGTCATATACACAGAACTGGGTGACCTGGGCAAGGCTTGTAACCTCTCTGGACCAAAATTTCTTATGACAGAATAAGGAGAGATAGATCAAAGGATGCCTCTATTAGCTTTAACCTTCTGCATGTATTAAAAATTGCCTTGGATAATCTAAGCTCATGACCCATGAGGCACCCCTTTCTCACGCACCAAAGGTAGTTTTAGATCACAGAGGAGCACAGAGTTCAAGGACAGGGTCAACATATTGTCCCAGACAAGCCAGCCATATGGTAATGCTTGACAGAACAGCCAGCAAGATCAGCTTATCAAATAATCCTTATAAAAATAATTTATCAACACATCGCTTCTGCACTAGACCGGAGTCCAGTCTCTTTCTTTCTCTCTCTCTTTCTCTCTTCTTCCCCCCAATCGCCGATGCCATCTCCACCTTTGGGGTACTCTGAACCCGGCTGGAGCTGGTCCCCAGCAGCCACCCAGCCTGGCTTCCTTTTTTTTTTTTTTTGAGTTGGAGTCTCACCCTGTCGCCCCGACTGAAGTACAGTGGCTGCTCCCGGCCACTGCAGCCTCGACCTGCTGGGCTCTGGCGATCCTTCCGCCTCAGCCTTCTGAGTAGCCAGAATTACAGGCACGTGCTACCATGCCTGGCTAATTTTTTGATTTATTGTAGAGATGAGGTCTCGCTGCCCAGGCGGGTCTCGAACCCGCGGGCTCAGGCAATCCATTCACCTCAGCCTCCCAAAGGCGCGGGACTACAGGCTGAGCCACTGAGTCCAGCTTGACTGACCCTCCTTCTAATGACTGGCCTTCCTTCTAATGAATGCCCCAGTCACTGACCCTCAACTGGGAACGATGACTCAATGACTAGTCCACCTCCGTGATGGTGCCTCAGTGACTGGCTTTCCTCTGAAATGGATGCCTCAGTGTCTGGCCCAACTCAGGGATGGGTACCCCAGTGTCCTGCCATCCTATATGATGGGTGAATCTTTAACTGTTCCTCCTTCTCTGACGGGAGCCTCAGGGAATAGCACTCCTCTGCGATTGGTGCCCCTGTGACTAGATATTCTTCTGTGATGATTTTCTCAGTGACGGTCCTTCCTTTGTTATTGTGCCTCAGTGACATGTCCTTCTAATTGGTACCCCTGAGACTGACTTTTCTCTATGCTAAATGCCCTGGTGACTGGCTTTCCTATGGAATGAGTGACAAAGTGACTGTCCCACCTCTCTGATGGGGTCACAGTGACTGGCCCTCCTCTGTGAATTGTGCTTCATTCACTGGCTTTCCTCTGTGATGGCGTCCCAGTGACTATTCTTTCTCTGTAATGGGTGCCACAGTGACCAGACCTCCTCTGTGATGGGTTACCTAGTGACTGGACCTCCTTTGTGATTGGTTTCTCAGTTACTGACTGGCCTCCTATTGGATGCTTTAGTGACTGGTCCTCCTCTGTGATGAGTGCCTCAGTGTTGGGCCTCCTCTGTGATGGGTTACTCAGCGACTGGTCCTTCTCTGTGGTCAGTTCCCCAGAGACTGACCCTCCTAATGGGTGCTCCAGTGTCTTGCCTCCTTTGGATGGTTCCTTTAGTGATTCGCTATCCTCTGTTTTGGGTGCATCAGTGACTCATGCTCCTCTATGATTTTTTCCCCAGTGACTGGCCTTTCTTCTAATGGGAGTCCCAGTGACTGGTCCTCCTCTGAGTTTGGTGCTGTTGTGACTGTCACGTCTCCGTGATGGGTACTTCAGTGACGGACCCTCTTCCGGTATGGTTGGGTGCTTCATTGACTGGCCCTCCCTTGGAATGGGTAACTCGCCATCCTATGTGATGGCTGCAGGTCTGACTGTTTCTCCTTTGTGATGAGAGTCCCAGGGATTAGCACCCCTCTGTGATGTGTGCTCCAGGGATTAGCCATCTTCTGTGGTTGGTTTCTCAGTGACTAACCTTCTTCAGTGACTTGTCTGCCTCCTAATTGGTGCACCAGGGACTGGCTATCTTTTGTAATGCTTTCCCTAGTGACTGGCTTTTCTATCAGACTGCTGCAAAAGTCGCATGCCCACCTCAGTGATGGGTGTCGCATTGACTGGCTCTGCTCTGTGATGTTGCCCAGGGAATATTCCTCATTAAAAAAAAAGAATAATTTGTCATGTTGTATGTTTCCTTGAAAAGGGAATGCCTTTCAATTCATGAGTGTTGAACTATTTCCAAAGTTTTGTAAACATTTTGCAAGGCCAGGAAGATTGGGTTTACCAGTCCCATTTTTCGTGTTGAAGAAACGAAGTCATTCATTCAACTTCATTCAATGAACATTCATTGAAACACTGCCGTGCATGCTGTGAGGAGTGATTGTGGCATGAGAGTCCTGACTCAAGCGCCTGCTCAGCGGTCGGGTCTAGCGGGCTCTATTCAGATGGCAACCAGGCTTGACATCTGCTCCTGCCACTTACCAAGTGATATGGAACTTTGTGCACTTAAACTATCTTTGATCCAGCTTCCTTGACTGTAAAATGAGGGTGATAGTGAGAACACCTGAAAGAAGTCTCATGGGCATTAACTGAGTTGACTCAAGTGCTCTCCTCCCTGGAAAGTGCCCAGATGTCAGCTGCCACCATTGTCACTTCACATTTCATGTGGCCTCCTACTGGGGACTCAGAGTTGGAAGCGCTGCCATGAGCAGAGCTGCTGAGGACTGATCTCAAGGACTTTACATCTCTTGCTCTGCCTCCAAGTGATTTTTGTCAGACTGTCAAGACCTTCCACCATTGGTCTCAGAAGCTGTCCATGTGTCCCCCTCTGCTCTTCAGGGCTGTCAGTGGGTCTGATGGGTTTGATGCCCTCTAAACCCTTCGTGCTCCTCCCAGTCCCCACCACTCCCTTCCTCTTCTTCTTCCTGCCTAGGTTTCATTGCTGTCACCTCTGGCCCAGTCTTTCATATGTCATGAGTCTCACTTGCTCCAGGAAAACCTTTCAGACCATGCCAGTCCACGGGACCCTTCTTCTCTCCATTCCTAGCTTAATTTTCATGCCTTTCATTTGGCACTTAATCACACAGCACCTAATTTTGCTAGTGATTACCTCAAGCTTCCAAGTCAAAATTTTGTGGAAAGATAGGAAATTCGGAGAGCATCATACTTGTTTCATATTTCTTTTATGGTAACTTTTATGACAGGTTAAAAGGTCAGAGGTTTACAAGGAAAGATGAGTAATACAGATGAGGAAAGTTGGCTGGGTGGGGGCTGTGGCCAGCATACGTGTCCATGTCCAGGCTAAAAGGAGTTGCTACCACTGGGTCCTGGTCAGCTGTCACCATTGAGAAGACAAAGCTTTGTGCCACACCCACTGCAGTCAGAGAAGAGAATTATAGTATTGGGGAAAATGTACACTTCCATGACACTTTACAGATAAACAACATGATCCTACTCAGACACCCTTAAAGCTACTGGCTCCTGATGGCTGGACTCACCAGGCCTCCTCAGTGTCACAGTGTCTTCAGGGTGTTTTAAGACCCCCTCCTCCTAGAGTGTCTCCAGAGCCTCTCTTCTGCTTCTGGCCACAAGGAGAGTTTAGCTGTAGCATTTGTGAAAGAGACCCTCCAGTGTGGACATGCCAAGAAGTGTACTGTGCAGGTTCCCAGCTCCACTTTCGTTCTTTCCTCCAGAAAGAACGAAACTCTTAGAAAATGACAAGAGCTTGTTTTTAAATTCCTTATCTATGGCTTAATCTTCTCCCAGCACCAAGCAGGAATGGAGTTCCAATATTATCATACCTTGCAAATTTTAAAGAAAAACCCAAATTTGATTTTATTGACATCTGCTTTTAGAAGTTGTCAATATGTGAATGCATCGTGCACTGTGCAGTCCATGGCTCAGACCTCACAGCTCATCCTCAGGTTGGTAGCCCAACTCTCTGATTCTGTCTCCTCAGTCCCCTATGTACAAAAGGCACTTGGCACTAGGGGATACATCAGACTTCAGTACCATAGTTTACATGGCATTAGTATAAAGCCATGTAAAAATGCTATCACATGAAGATTTATTTGATTAAATAAGTATATAAGAGTCATTTAATAGTCCTATAAAGTTAGGAGAAGCTTCATGCTTCCTTGATAGCTCAGACATCTTCTATATGTTTTGGGGTGATCATTCTCCACTGGTACATTCTTTCGTTTAAAGACTCACCAACTAGTAACATAAGCTACACTTCTATTGTAATTGGCAGATACCGCTGTCTGAAGTGTCTCAACTTTGACATCTGCCAGGTGTGTTTCTTGTCTGGTCTTCACAGCAAGTCCCACCAGAAGTCTCACCCTGTGGTTGAACACTGTGTTCAGGTAACGTCTAATGTAACACACTAAGGGACTCACTGGTCAAGTCAGTATGAACTGTAGCTGTCAGAAAACATTCTCAAATTCAAGACTAAGCAAGTGGCACACTCAACTTTAAGTAAGTCTCAATAACATAAGCTTTCTTAGGCTTTTTCTTTCTTCTTCTTCTTCTTCTTCTTCTTCTTCTCCTCCTCCTCCTCCTCCTCCTCCTCCTCCTCCTCCTCCTCCTCGTCCTCCTCCTCCTCTTCCTCCTTCTGATTTAGAATTACAATCTCACTCTGTTACCCAGTCTGGAGTGCAGTGGCATGATCGAAGCTCAGCACGACCTCGACCTCCTGGACTCAGTCAATCCTTCTGCCTCAGCCTCCGAAGTAGTTGGGACTACAAACATGAACCATTGCACCCAGCCACATTGTAGATTTTAATAAAAACTTTTGGATACAAGGAAAGGCCAAGCAGAGTCCAGTCTAAAGCCGTTAATTCCATACTCTACTGAAAAAATATCTGTGAGGAGTTGGGGGGAACACTGGAAATGGGTATGAGTGGAAAAGAACAGGATTGTGATTTGGTAAAAATAATGCACCAAAGCTTCTAGTTGTTAGTGTATTTTTGGAAACTTTTTTTAAAAAGCATATGTTTTCCAAAGCCCTAAATTTTAAATACTTTTTTTCTTTAGGAAAAAAGAAAGATTATTATCTCAGTTTTGACTGAAAGAATATATAGCTAAAACTTCACAACTACCTTTCAACTGTTTTCTTAAAGAAAATTATAAATACCCAGCAAAAGAATTCATTCTTGCTAAGTAGAAAGAAAAATGAGATAGTACATTTTTTTTAAAAAGCAATTTTAATTTTTCACAGAAAGAACATTTTCTTTTCATCACTAAGTTCTTCTGAATCTGTTTCTCCATGCAGATGGTAACCCCCTCGAGTACCACATGGTGAAGGATGTGGACTAACTCTTTGTCAAGGACAATTTTCTCTCATTCTTTCTTTAGCATGAGTGGACCACAAAACTAAGTGCCTGGGTCTTGTCCAGTAATTTCCAGTGGATGTTGCCTTACTAACCTGCGTTGACCCAGGTCTTCAGGAATGTAGACCTGTGAACCATCTTCCTGTCTGAAAGCTGGAGCTTATCTATGTTAGAGTGACATCATGTCGTCACTTCACCATCACTCTTCAAATTTCAAGTGCTGAAAATTTTACAATGAAGCCTCTCATTCCTTGTTTCCTTTTGGCAGAGGCTCTTACCTGGGTTAGAAGCACCTCAGGTGGTTCGTGAATTCCCTGAAATTGCATACAGAATTTCATGTCTCAGTATTTTTCATAAGTTTTCATCCAGTTCTCAGGGGAATCCACAGCCCAGTATGAGCACCATGGCTTAGTCCCCTCTCGTCTACATATAGCTTTAGAATTCCAAATGGCCTGAGCCTTCTAGGGAAAAGAATGCGTGAAGGAGTTGAGGTGTTTAATTTGGAGACTCATGCCACATGTATGTTCACATGGAGAGAGTGTGAAGAAATTCAGGGAGCAAGGACATCAGTTTTTTTTGGGGGGGGGAGCTTAACAGAAAAAAATTCCAAGAATGTTTATGGTGGCCATGCCACCCATATAAGGAAAGAAGACTCTGTTTAGACTGATTGACACCCTTTCTCGTGTTGACTCTTTCAACAAGATGTCAGCAAAGGAGAATGCAAAGCTTGTCTTTAGGACCCTCAGAAACAACCTGCTCCAGGGACACTGCAGGAGGAAGGAAGCTACCAGAAGGCAGAGGCTGCTGGACCAGGTGACCCTGAAGAGCATGGCTAACCCTGCGCCGGCCAGGTGAGTGTATATGTGTGACAGTCTCAGAGCCCTGGGTGTTGGCTCACCCAGTCAACCCCAGTCTTATTAGTGAGAATGATCCTGCAGAAGCTGGCGGTGGCTGGGGAGGGACTTGAGACCTTTTCTCCCACTAGAAATGCCTTTAACTTTAAAGAACTAAGAGGCAACATGCCATGTAGTGACCCATCAATCCTTTAGGGTTATTTCTACAGCTAAAGGTGTCAGAAAGACACAACAGATTCTTATTATTAGAATATTTAGATAGCATTGTTTCATATTCCTAGTCCTTTGCTGGTTTGTTTTTGAAAGCCTAATTCAGAATAAATATTTTACTTTTTTTTTTAAGAAAGGGAAAGAAAGACACTCAGCTTTCTACCACTCACAGATGGTTACTAGTCACATTTCAGTGCTAACAGAACAGGGATTATGCTACAGATACAGTGTTTCATTCTTCTTTTCATTCACATTAAATGGAGAGCACGTCCTGTGTTACTTATTTCCAGAACATCACTTTTAATAGTCTTACTCTCATCCTTATTGGGAAGTGCCACAATTCACAAGCAATCTCTTATCGTTGTACATATTAGTTATTTTCAAATTTTGCCCTCAAAATTCTATAGTTGACATACCAATACATGTGTCTTTCAGCATACTTTTATGATGTTATTAAGATATACTCATTCAGGTAAAATCACTGAGTCAAAAATTGTGAGCTTTGTTAATTCTAAAAATTCAGAATGCCCAAGTGTGCTCCCAGGGCCCTCCAACCACCCCAGTGTTTAAAATCACTGTAACCTACCTGACCACCACCCTAAGCATGACTTTTAAAGTCTTCATGACCTTAATTTTTGAAGTAACCACTTCTAAAATAGTAGAAGGTAAAGGAAAGAGATGCTGTTTCTTTTGGTGTATGATCATTATATTTTTGAGAGAGAAAAAAGATATGTTCACTTGCATTTTGCCTACTGGGACTATAAGAATAGATCATTTAAATCAGACTAGTATTCATTTATTAATTTCTTTTGTAAACTCTCTAATCTTTTTCTCAGACATGTACCAGCAGATTTCCAATTCAATCCCAGACCCCTATTTCTGTGACCATTTTGTTGCTACTCTATAGTTTGCTGTAATTTAAGTACATTTTTACAGCTCCTTAAAAGATAGAGTACATAATGACCTCACAGTTTGACACCATTTATTATCCTGTGTCACACGTATTTAGCAGGTTGTTTACAAATACCAATAATTAAAGCTAGAGAATCTTGATATCATCTTGGTGTATACCTTTAATATAGCACAAATAAATTAAATTTAAAAATAAAAACAAAGAAATCAGATGCCAGTTTATCATTATTCTTCAAGCCAGTCATTCGCCTTTCACTATGAGAGTAACAATAAACAGGTCAATAAGTGCTTGAGTCTTGCCTAAATTCCTATACTATCATAGGCAGGACACAGAGACCCAACTCCCACGGGCATTTCTTTTTGACCACTGAAGATGGCTGATCTTTTGCACGTCTTCAGCACCCACTCATCTTCCCCAAACCCCCAGACCCTCCTTTATCTCGTCCCCCCATCCCTTTCCACCCCCCACTGTCTTCTCATTGTTCTTAAGCACTGTCTTCTCATTGTTCAAAATCAGAAAGCTGGAACACGACAGAAGTCACTGCACGCTTGGTCTACCAAGCTCACCTCCCAGCCTTACCCTTCTTCTGCAATCTCCACAGCCCAGCCCTGATTCTGCCCCCATAAGACGAAGTCCAATTTAATGTCCCCTTCCCATCATTTAAGATTTGTCAGTTTGTAATTACACATTTCTCTGTGTGACTATCTGACTGCTGCCTGTCCTCCCCCTTGGCCGAAAGCTCTACCAAGAAATCTGGTTTCACTCATGCTCATAACTTCTAACATCCAACTCGTGAGTGTGTTGAGACAACTCCACTCATCAGCAAATCTTGTTGGCTACTACACTGGTTTCAGTCCAGTGTCACCTCTCACTGTGGTCCTCCAATTTAAATTTGTCACCTAAGTTTCTACTAAGTCCTCACTTTTCTCTTCTGGCTCTCCTTTTTTTTTAAATCTTTAGTACTTAAAACTTCCAACAAAGGCTTGAAGGAGGTGAGGGACTAAGTCACACAGACACCTGAGGAGAGCGGGGAGGTCCCCAGCACCAACTAGAGCTCACCTGTAGGCCCAGAGGACAGCAGGAATCTGCAAGGCTGCAGAAAGAGGGGGCAAGTGACAGGGAAGGGTGGGAAGTTGGGAGGAAGGTAGAGGGTGTTGGAGGGCCTGCAAGGCCAGTGTAAGGACTTGGGTTTTGACTCTGGGGAACCTTTGCAGGATCAAGAGTAGAGGTTCTAACTTAAGCTTTAAAACAGCCACCCTGTTGCTGTATTGAGAGCAGGCCAAAGGGTTGAGAGTTAGAAGCAACGCTAGGTGAACATTTCCCTAAATTTTCTTTCAATGTTTCATTCAGAATTTTTAATTCAAATTGTCAACCCATTTGGAATTTATTTTAGCAAAAATCTAGCTTTGCTTTCTTTCAGATAGATAGTAAATTATGCAACCTTGTTCCTACTTAATTAAAATGGCCAACTTTGTCACCTGTTGGTTTTCCTTGTGTACTTGGCTAATGAATAGCATTTGTATTCTCATCCTCAGCTCTGAGTGCCTGTTCTCGTGTTTGTACTAAATAAGATGGTCACGGTGGCCCTATAGGAAGCAGGAAACAGTTATCATCAACTGAGCTGGAAGAGGTAATGGGTGGAGCCAGCTTGTGGGGGAAGACTAGGAGTGCAGTTTGAGACACGTTAAGGTTGAGATGCCTCTGAGACATCCATGGGAGGTAATGAGTAGGCAATTGACTATTCATACTTGGAATTTGGGAGAAGGGTCTGTACTGGAGATGTAAACTGGAGGTTGTTGCCATCTATATGGTTTTTAAAGCCATGAGATTGTATGAGATCACCAATGAGGGAGTGTAGATAGAAATGGGGAGTGAGGACTGGGCCTGTGACACTTCATGATACAAAGCTGGAGAGAAGAAGAAAGCCAGTGAGGGAGACTGAGAAAGAGTGATGGGTAGGTGGGTAGAAAAACAAGGGGAGATCCTGGAAGACAGGTGAAGATGTGTTCAAGGAGAAGAGCACGGGACCCACTGTCAAACGCTGCTGCTGGATCGTGTGTGGATTCAGCCATGAAGAGATCACTGATGACCTTACAAAGAGCATCACAGGACAGTGGCCATAGAAAAGTCAGACTAGAGGCAGTTTAAGTAAACAAAGTTAAGAGAGTATTTTGTTATGATGAAGAAGGGATCAGCATGTGCACCTATTCCAGGAAATGAGTTATTAGAGAGAAAACACTGGTAATTTAGTGCAAAAAGGGAGACTTGTAGGAGCAATGCCATGCAGCAAGTGGAGGTGGTACACATGAGGAGGGGGTAACTTTAGAAAAGTGGCATCTATTAACATCAAATATACACGAGATTTAACCAGTGATCCATTTTATTGTAGCCTTGGAAAATTGGCAATAACAACCGCATTGTCCCCTGGTAGAAAAATGTTGACACATATATGATACCAACATACATTAGAACATAATGAATCCACTTAAACAAACGGGCTTTTGCTACTTCAGAGAAAAGCAAGTGGCAGAATAATGTGTGTAGGAGTATCTCATTTTTTTTCAAAAACAAATTCAGAGCCAGGCATGGTGGCTCACACTTATAATCCCAGCACTTTGGGAGGCCAAGGAAAGAGGATTACTTGAACTCAGGAGTTTGAGGCCAGCCTAGGCAACATAGAGAGACTTCATCTCTACAAAAAACAAAAATTAGCTGGGCATTGTGGTGCATGCCTGTAGTCCCAGCTACTTGGGAGGCTGAGGTGGGTGAACCGCTTGAGCCCAGGAGGTAGAAGCCGCAGTAAGTTATGATCATGCCACTGCACTCTGCCCTGGGTGAGAGAGTGAGACTGTGACTCAAAAAAAAAGTCAGTACGTGTGTTGATGTTTATAAACGTATGAATACAGAAAATGGTGCGCATGTGACCCTGCTAGGACCCTGATCTTGAACTTCCCCTAGAACTGAGAAATAAGTGTCGGTTGTTTATGCCACCCAGCTCACGGGATTTTGTTATAGCAATCTACATAAACTAAGACAGAATGGAACAACCCTGCAGTATGAAAACTATCCCAGATGGAGTTGGATAAAATGTGCTACACAAGGAGTATGTCACTAAGAAGTTATGAGTTACCCTGGTTTGTTTTTTTTTTTGCCCTGAATGCCCACCCCTTAGTGAAGTAACTAAGTATACCACAGAACAAACACTTCTTTCCCTATATGCTTGTTGCGTCTTGTAGAAATTATCACATTATGTCACAAAAGATTGTGCATTTGTCTTCTCATTAAATGTGAACTCTCTGTGAGCAGGGAGTTGTCTACTTTTTTGTGGTTGTTTCTTTTCTCCGCTGTAACTCAAGATGGTTAGATGCTTTAGAAATCATTTTTGAATATAGAAATGAAACTAAATGGAATTGTATAAACCAGATTATGCCTGACCTTAAAAAAGTCTGGTCTATTCTATCACCCAATAAACCCTTACCTGCACTTGAACCCCTGATATCTGACCTGAACAAGATGACCGGGAAAGTTTTCTGCCGTCATTCTTAATGTCTTTGCACCCTTGCATCTAGGTTGTCAAGGAGGAGGGAAAGTAAAATCTTCATTCCTATTATTTGGTGAATTGGCTCTCTGTCAACTCAAATGTCTGGAAAATAGCACAGAGAAAAAGGTTGGGCCTCTTCACTGCTATTTGGGGCACTGACTTTAGCATCTGACTTAACATTTTCTAAGAAGGCTTTCCTCAAGTGTCATACCTGATCATTAAACAGTGTAAATTTTCTCATTAAACTCGACAGCAGGCCCTCCCTTCAGTGCAAGAGTCCTAGAGTCCCTGCAGATGGAAGACCACCTGGATCAGTGCGAACAGCTGCCACAGGAGCTCCTGTGCCTGCACATGCATCCCCAAGAATACCTCAGTCTCAACAGACTGAGGTTGGCAGACCATGCTGTCAGGTGAGTCCAACAAAAGAGGCTGCCATGAGTGCACAGGGACCTGGCCATCCTGTCATTGGCCCATCAAGCTGCCCCAGAGAGGGAGGTAGTATTCAGATGTCCCAGGACCCAAGAGAAACCCAGGAATATATGTGTTAAGGTAAGTTTTTGTCTCTAATTATAAGGTGTTGCATATTGATTTGATTATAGATAATTTGGAAAAGAACAAAATTAAAATAGTAAACAACCCCTTACATGCCTACTGTTAACATTTATTGTGCTTCTCTCCCTGTAAACATTTTTAAATGAGCCTAGGTCATACTGTAAAATGTATTGATTATGTAGTTCTCCATCAGCGAAAGTTACATTGTGAGCATTTTCCATGATCATTGAAATTCTTCAGAAACCTCTTGATGGTTATATACTTTTTTATTTAAATAGGCATAACATTATTTCTTTAACTCCCTTTTCCTTCTCTTGTTGGATGTTTGGATTATTTCTAATTTTTACTATAATTTTAAAATGTGCTATTAAAATTCTTGCACAGTATTTATTGTTCATGGTTCCCCAATTACTTCTTTTGAATACATATCTAAAATAGAATCACTAAAATGAAAAGTGGGAACATTTTTAAGGCTTTTCATACTTATCACTAAATTACCTTTTAGAAAGAAATACCAAATTATACTCCCAGTGGGTGTAAGCACCTTTCTCACATGATCCTTGCTAATGCTGACTATTACCATGTTTAAATTTTTGTTAATTTTATTAACAGAATGTATTTTATTTGCCTTTCTTTGTATTTCACTAAGAGTGAAATGAAACGTTTCCTCACAGAGTTTCGAATTTTTCCTTCTGTCAGTGCCCTCCATCCATCTTTATGGAGGTATCAGTTTGATTTATCAATATGTTTAAACTTTTTATATTTTAAATTTGACTATGGGAAAACTTTCTTCCTAATTACTTTCTTTTCACCTTACTTAGAATATGACATGTTCAATTCTTATGAAAACATTATCAATCTTTTCCTTTGAAATTTCTTACATAGTTTTATGCTTGGAAAATTTTTCCTATTAAGAAATCAAATGACTCTTTAACTGTATTTTATTTGAGCATGATTTGATTATCTTGATGTTTCACTTTTAAATCTATCTGGATTTTATTTTGATGTATAATAAGAGGTGAAGAAAGTTCTCGTTCCTTTTTACTTAAATAAATATATATCTTTTTCATTGTTGTGGGTGCTTCCTTTAGTATTGCTAAAAATCTCACTATTTTAAAATGCACTTTGGGTTTTTTGCTTGTTTGTTTATTTGAGACAGTGTCTCCCTCTGTTGCCCAAGCTAGAGTGCAGTGGCCCCATCATTGCTCATTGCAGTCTCAAACCCCTGGGCTCAAGCAATCCTCCCACCTCAGCTTCCTGAGTAGCTGGGGCTATAGGCATGAGCCCCGTGCCTGGCCAGAATGTGTTTTATCGCTACCTATTCAGCTTAGCTGCTTTTCATTTCATCTACAGAGGAACATTGTTTGAATATTCATTAACATAGATCCATTAACATAGAGCAAGTTTTTCCTGTTTAATTTATTTTCTTAACCACTTTACTGAGGTATGATTGACATGTCAAAAAGCTGTGCATATTTAGTGTATATACCTCAATGAGTTTGGAGATACGTATATATCGTGTGTGTGAATTAGATTGTGTAACTGCACTTTGAGCATAGGAGCATCTACCTTGGTGGGCAAGGATATAAACCCAAACCTCAGTCACTATCAGAAATAGGTTGAATTCCTTTGAAAAAACATCATCCTGCTCTTACAGTGGATTTTTAGGCATCTGGGTTAAATTCAAACCCACAAAGTGTTTTCTGTGTTTCTTACCTCTCTAGATCATGGTCCGCATGAGGAGTGAACTGTGCAGGGCTCGGGAGTCCATGAATGCTCTGCAGGTGGAAAGCAGGTAGGAGCTGCAGTAATGCCAATGCCAACACAGAGGCTATGCCACAGCATTGCCCTGGAGACCACAGAGCAATATCCTACAGTGATGTTACTATACTCTTTTTTTTTTTAATTTGGAAGAAATTCTTTAAGTTGAGAAATCTCATGGTCCACTGGAATCCAACGTGTCAGTAAAAAGATTTGACTCTATGAAGCATAACAAAACTCACCTGGCTAATTATATTACATTTTGATTTTTGGTTGCCTAATTTTGTTTCTTGGAATCTGGTTAAGCACTTTTAGTGAAGTATTGATTTGTGTACATCTTGTGTATTGTGTATCTTGTATATGTGTGTTTTACCTACATCTAAAGATCACTATATATTTTCCAGCAACATGTAACTTTCTACTAGGGCACCAGGCTGATTGGTCTACCATCATTTTGTTTGTTTGTTTGTTTGTTTGTTTGTTTGTTTTTTAAGAGACAGAGTCTTGCTATATCACCCAGGCTAAAGTGCAGGGGCACCATCACAGCTCACTGTAGCCTTGAACTCCTGGGCTCAAGTGATCCTCCCATCTCAGTTTCTCGAGTAGCTGGAACCACAGGCACACACCACCATGCCCAGCTAGTTCTTTTTTTAATGTAGAAACGGGGTCTTGCTATGTTGCCCAGGCTGGTCTCAAATTCCTGACCTCAAGAGTTCCTCCCATATGGCTTCCCAAAGTTCTGGGATTACAGGCACGAGCCACTGCTCCTGATCTTTTAGTTCCTTTTTAAACCAATGAACAACTAATTGGAAAGAGAAGCCAACACAGACCCACAACCCATGACTTACACCACTGTCGTCCTCTGTGGTCTTGGTTGAGTGTCAGGTGCTTAGCCACAATGGCTACACTGTCATTCTGAATGAGTGTTTCTGAACAAAATGATAAGGGATAAGTCAATATTATCATTTAAGGAGCCAGTAGGGGTATGCTGCCCAAAGTGACTTGTCATGTGCCTGGTGAGCTTTCAGAAACACCTCGAAAGCCAACAAATGCTCAGAGGAATTGTGTCCACAACGCACAACAGTGCCAAACAGGACTGATCAGTGTCAGATAATAGCCGAGGCACAGGCTTCTCTAGGATCCTCCCTAACTTGTCGTAGCTGTAGTTAGTGTGCCCTTCCAAACCACGTGAATCTGTTCTCTTTGCAGACTCCTTAAAAAGCAGTTAAACAGATACAAAGACAGGTTGCAAGCAATGTGCACCTTCCAGGGGGAAAGAAGCTGCCAACTTGAAACAAAGATTCACGAACTCACAGTCAACCAGGATGGTCTGTGGACCAAGATGCGCCAGATGGGCCAGGACCTGCAGGTACAAACCATGGGAAGCCATTAGGACAACGGGAATCTCACCTCACGGCCTCCAGCCAAGGGGGGCCACACATGTCTCACCTCACATACTTCAGCCAAGGAGACCACACAAGTCTCACTTTGAGGCCTCTAGCCAAGGGAGACCGCACAAGCCTCACCTCTCAGCCTCCAGTCAAAGGAGGGCTGCAGCCTACACTTGCCACCTGCTGTGACCAGCCTCTCCCCTTGCCCTCTGCCTCCTGTGCCCTGACCCCCTGAACTTCCACACACACTCCCATGGAGGTGGTACCTTTGGAAGACAGCAAGATCCATTCCAGCTAGAAACAACAGGCCAGGCAAAGCAGTTCTTCCCAGCATTTGGCTCTTAAGCCTTCTGGTCAGGATCTCTTATATGTTCTTTAAAGTTTCTAAGAATGCCAAGCAGCTTTTGTTTCTGTGGATTATAACTATTGCTTTTACCATATAAAAATTAAAACTGAGTTGTTTAAAATGTATTTGTGAACTAACAAAAACAAAAAAAATAATAAGCTGGCTATATATATTTATTAATATATCTTTTTAAACAATAACTATATGTTTTTTAAAAACTTAGAAGTGACATTTTACTTCTTTCCAAATCTCTTTAATATCTGGCCTTATAAAAGATGACTGAATACTCATAACTGCTGCGACAGTCACTCTGCTGTAGGATGTTTGGCTTGAAACATATAAAGGAATCAGGCCTTACAGAATCTGCAGTTGAAAAAGAAATGTCAGCCGGGCTCAGTGGCTCAGCCTGTAATCCCGCGCCTTTGGGAGGCTGAGGTGAGTGGATTGCCTGAGCCCGCGGGTTCGAGACCCGCCTGGGCAGTGAGACCTCATCTCTACA